AATGTATATGTTAGTGAGATGTAATAATTATACAACCTACGTAATAAAATGTAGAGTGAAATTTTAAAAGTGCAATTAATATTTAATACCAATAATTTCTAAGTAAATAAAAGTACAAACGGTCCACAATTTCAGAGATCAAAACTCTTCTACCGTAAATATCTGAGTTGTCTTAAACATACGTATTACTAAAATCTCCAGTGACGTTATTTTTTTAAATAACCTTATCTTTAACTTTAAATTTTAAGACATTTTAAGCTTATTTCTTTATTAAGACGAAAATTAATTTGATTTTTTACCACGGTAGACGTAGAGTAAAAAATACAAACGGTAAATATATTGTGGGAATAAAGAAGGTTACGTAAAAATGTTCCACGCTAAGGAAAATCAGATTAAAGGAGAACGAGCTCCCCATTTCTTTCGTCGTTTTAATGGATGACCTTGTGCCAGACTTGTTTAATTATCTAGGCCCTGATGCAATACAGACAGTTTTATGTCCACTCCAAATCACCCACCCTGTGCTAACACGCTTAGAATAAAAATAACTCCAACTAATTCGCTATTTGCGGTCAATAAACATTAGTAATTACAAGCATCGTTACCATTTAACATTCGAATATAAAACCTAATTATAAATTAATGATGGTTGATGTGGAACTTTATGACGAAAGTGTTTTGAATTATAATTATTATACGACTACCTTAAGAAAGAGTATAATGTTTTCAGGGACACTGGCTATAATAATAGTGAAAAAGAAACCAAATAGAAAAGTGCCTTTGTGCAACTTTAGCAAGACATTTTAGTGTATTTTAAATTAGATTTTATATCGTTCTATTAAGGATAATTTTACCCTTTTTGATTGATGATTTCGTGAATAATCTACATAATAAATATATACTATATTACTACATTTTCATATGAATTTAAATATAAGTTTATAACTTTATTTTCATTACTTTCATCTCCAACCAGATGTTGTAATAACACAGCTATGATAAACCCATCAACGCTGACCGTTCCCTCAAAATATCACGCCACAGAATAATAATAATTATTAGAAAGCATCATCGCTTAATATACAGTAGTTTATCACATGTGATACGCGAGTGCAGTATGAGTATTATGTAACTAAAATGACTGCACGGATGGCGTAGTGGTTTAAGCGGTCATCACGCCGCTTAAACCACTACGCTCAGTGTTGTGGGTTCGATCCCCACATGAGACGACACTTTGTGTGATCCACAAATTGTTGTTCTGAGCCTGGGTGTTCTTTGTGTCCGTTTCATGTATGTTTGTAAAGTCCCCCGCGACACAGGATACATTAATAACGAGGAGTTGTCTTATAAAAAAAAAATACAAAAAACTATACTCATCCAATCTATAACTCATCCTTTAGCTACGTAATCTTTGTATTACTAGGTTTTAGCAGTAACGATTTTGTCAATCATTTTATTTTGAGGATAAAAAGAGTAAATGTGATATTTCTGACTACAATCTATCTTTGAGCCAAATTTAATCCAGATGTCGGTTCTAGTGTGATTGATTAAAAACATCCCACCAAACTTTCGCCTTTATTGTGGTGAGATGCGTGAATAAAATTTTGATCACGTGGAAATGTGTAATTTGGAATGCTTATAGTTTATACATATCATACACACGTTCACTACTGCTTTTATTCCCTAAGAGGGTTTACAAAATGTAGCGTTTATATACGCATTTGCCTACCACACCGTCGTATTTAAAGGTTTAAATTTTACCAACCGTAATTTCAGTTTCATTTATGTATTTTTTTATCACAGGGGTACTAGGGCTTTCCTTTCTACGGTATACCTGGTTCCCCGGCTACTGGTACCTGGAGACGGCGTGCGGTTTTTGGTCGGTTCGAGTCTGACATAATCACCCACTGGTGGGTGGTATCCGAGGGGAGTGCCGCACAGAAAAAAAAAGAAAAGGGTACAGCTAGTGAACATATTATATTCGCATGGATTTATATGCTACTTACGTATACAGCTGGATACAATTTGTATTTTGTGAGTAAATTTACTTCCACCTAAATTTAATGAGGAATTGATTACGTCATGTGAATCTGGATAATCGATTGCCTACGAGTTAAAATTAACTTATCCGTTCAGCAAATTCCCTTATTTAAATCGATTTAGGTATTCGGGTACATATTTAAACAAACTGGGATAAAACAGAGAGAGAAAAGTTGATAGGATTAGGGATGAGTTTTTAAATTCGATTACAAATGACATTACTTAATTGTATGCATGAGAATAATCTATGCTGGTATCTATTGGGATTCGGATTAGTTACCTTTTGGTAAGACTATCACCGTTCATGGGCTCTTGCAACATAACCGAATCACAAGCACGTTGCCGTCTTGTGACTTAGAGGCACGCGAACGCTCTTTTCTTAAAGGTTTCCGAATGACATGAAGTTATAATCAGTTTATTTTATAATACTAGACAGATATTTTCGTAAGCCCTACATGAATTTATTAAGATAGCATGTAATTTATTCCATTTAATGTGTTCTATCACGAAATATTTCCATATCTCAGTTATTGTACGGGAGGAATTAACTTAACCTAGATTGTATAACCTAAATTTGTTAATAGATTCAAATATCATTTAAGTAGGTATCGGGTCTGTCACCAGATAGCATTTATCGGCTTATTCGCAAATGGATTCGGACGTTGACGTTTACCGATTAAACTAATAATGAGTGAGTATTTTTAGCATAAATAATCGCTTAATAGTAATTTTTACCATAGTGGTATAAGGGCCGCTTACTACTACGCTGAGTGTTGTAGGTCCGATGGATCGGACGACACTTTGTGTGATCCACAAATTGTTGATCTGAGTCTGGGTGTTCTTTGTGTCCATTTCATGTATGTTTGTAAACTTCCCCACGACACAGGTGAATTCCTAATGCGGACGTTGTCTTTAAAAAAAAAGCTTGGATTAATGTAAATTAAAAAAAAAAGCAACTTGATAAGAATTGCATTTAAAATGCTTGTGAATTAGGATTACTGTATCGATAAAAAAAATCCAGTGCGAAACCCAATAAGTGGTGCGTGCCTTCAAATTTTGAAATAATATATATAACATATAATGAGGTGTAACGATGCATCGCCATGCGCAAGTGACTCGACTGAATATTTAATATTTCATTGTGCTATTATTTTTTTTAAATCTCCTTTCATACTCATTATTTCTACAAAACAATTTCGATCTTTCAAATCTGCTCAATGACTTAATTTTTTGCATATTTGTGATAATAACTAGTTTTTATGTATTTATGTCTTTCTGTTGGTAGCTCAGTTGGTACGCTACTGAATATATTTATGTACAACAATACCACATTTCAGTGTGTACATGTTTGCATGTGCGTATGTGTGTTTTCTTTAATTTCATTCATTCAAAAGTCCAAAACATAGCACAAACATGTACGCACACACATACACAATTTGCAAAGAATACATTATCACAATTGGTCAACAGCAAAGTAAATACAACTTTATTCTTTGCTTGAGTATGTATTTTTCTTCTTGTATTTTGTAATAAATTAATAAAGGGAGTCTTACGATGTAACCGAAATATATATCCAAAGTAAAGTATAAACATTCCTAAGTTCAAGCGAAGACTACAAGCTAAGCAAAACATATTTAAATGAGACATTTTATGTGAGATAAACAGATCCAAAAATTTCGATTTCACCTAAACAGACGCCTACTTTTAAAACAAAATAGCTGAACTTTCTTTAAAAAATCAAACTAAATTAAAAATATTTTTGGATTCATATTGCTGATTCGACTATGTTTGATGTATGAAAAAAAAGATGGCCCCGAATGGAGTAAAACAAGTCAATTCTACACAATAGGTATATTTATTTAAAAAAAAACCTTCAACCAGTACGCTTTAACACAGTACGTTGTAAATTTTTGGCTTGCAGGGTTTGTAACGTATATTAATCACATAATATTAAGCAATATAAATTGAAATGCCGTAAAAGTTAACCTAACCTATTTCTCAAAGATATATTAATGTATTAATTATAGACATATCATATCATATCTCTTACTTATTAAAAAATATCAAGAAACTGATTTATTAAATCCAAATCTTTCATTAATTTGATACATTTAATTGTAAACCAAGTGATTAACTGTAAATTGCACTGATACAGTTATCTAAGTAAATCAAAACAAGATAGTTATGAATTAAGCGTGAAAGTTAGTGACACAAAAGGCTGTGCCTCTCGATATCCTTTTATATTGTCTTAGCAACGCATATGCTTAAAAGTTTATGAATAAATTTTAATTTAATTTTATTCAAAGGCATTATTAGGCGAAAGTTAAACTTTGCTTTTGTAGTAATGAATTATTGGCTTAGTTTGAACAATAAATATCGGATTGTAAATTATAAGTTAGTTTTTAAACATGTTTAGATACTAAACTTTGGAAACAATAGATATATGAAATATATTGTTTGATATAATATTTTAAAGGTTTAATATTTAAAAGAAGGCAAATATATTTATTCTAATTACGCCCAAATCAAACAGGTAATATTAAAATTATTGTATTTAGTAATTTTAGAGACACTTTTTGCCCCGCACAACCAATCTGTGGAACGGGTTATCGTCTGTGTTATTTCCTGACCGATACGACCTTCAAACCTTCAAGAAAAAAAAAAATATCAATCATACAACACAACAGCTGGAAAATTAGGTATTATATGTTTTACGGGCTAGTCGAGCCTGCGAAAGCCATTATTCGGTTAGATAAGCTGATTAAATGATCGATATAAATTCATCAGCGTCGATTCGGAGCCATCTTTTTTTCTTCAAAAAATTATTATTATTAAGAATAATTCCTTATTGAGTCACAACAGATTTAATATTTTTTTACCTTGAAGCAGCCATTATACTTCTCATTTTTTACAAAGTACTTTCAATAATGGTTTATTGATGTAATAACCAGTGAGACTCAAAAATGTCTTTAAAAACTTTCAACACGACTTTTGGACCTGGTTTGAATGAATCCAGTTTGTGGAGTGTACCGCAGTTTGATTTGGATGTGTTTTACAATCCGGACGTGGTGATAATAGTGTTATACGTGGTGGTGCTGACTGCCTCGCTCTCCGCGAACACCTTGCTGATATTTGTCGTCATCAAGTTCCAGTATATGAGGAGGTGAGTGCTTGTTCTGTTTGCGTTCAAATTTTCTTTTAAACTAACATAACAATAAATTAAGAAAATTACTAAAAGAACTTGAAAATATTAGGTTGTCTTAATAAGTTAAATAAATACGGATGAGATACACTATTTATCACTTTTTAAGGGTAATTGTATCCGCCTAAATTTTAGAATAATTAATAACATATTTGAAAAAAAATATGGAAAAATATAATCTCAAACATTGTGTCGTAGAGATTTTTTTATGGTATTGAGGGGGGGCAACTGGGCAAACGAGTAGATGCGTCACCTGATGGAAAGTCACAAGCGCGTTGCCGGCCATTACGCTGTAATGATTCTGTCAGCCTTGTCGAAGCTCTGCTTGTCCATGGTGGTATTCATAAGAGTATCTATAATATCTTCATAGAGCTACAGCATGGGTTCGTAAAAACAAAATCGATGGTGATACGTTTATGAGTGTCCACAGATTATTTTTTCAATCGTATTTATCGGCAAATGCAGGTGGACGCCATATACACAGATTTTCGAAAAGCCTTCGACAAGGTTGACCATAAACTACTACTGTCAAAAATCGTCTGCAACGGAATATGTTGTGGTTTGCTCCGTTGGTTTAATTAGGATGTTTCAAATATACAAAGGGTTGTCATTAAGGGATTCCACTCAGTCACTATAATTCTTACGTCCGGCGTGCCCTAAGGCTCAATTTGAGGGCCACTTTTATTTATTTGTTCATTAATGACATATAAGAGTGTTTTAGACACTAAGTTTTTATTATATGTAGACGATTGAAAAATATATAAATCAATTAAAATAATATATCTGAGTTTGGTTTATTACAGAAAAATTTTGATCACCTTGCTAATTATTGTATTAAAAATAAATTACAGTCAATTAAGTGCTATGCTTAATAGTTTACAAAAAAAAAGATTGTCCAGAATTACAACGTAAATCTATTTTCTGCTGCCTGAGACCGTTTGGTATTGCTAAATACCCAACTTCATCTGGATCAGCATATTGACGCTAAAACTAAAAAAGCATAAAGTTTGTATGCCTTTTTAATGCCAGTGAATAAACCTGATAAACGCAGCGTCTTTTGCGCATAAATTTGTCCATAAGGAGCGACCAGGGACCGAAAATTGGCCAATTTCTCACAGCTATGTTTGTCGAGAAACGAAGCTATTTCATTTTGAGTTCTCCAAACGTCTTTTAACCGGAGAATTTATACAGACTTTCGTTACTTATATAAATTTTAAGATTCGTGGAAATTTTAATTAACGACTTAATAACTATGCTGTATATTCCGTGTAAGACAAAGGAACGTTAGTGTGATATCAGCTTATCACAACCTGGTGCTGATGTAACCTGGCTTGGTTCAGGAAAGGAAAATTGTGCTTTAAAAATATATGTCTAATAGGCGTCAATTGTTTCTTTCTGTAATTCGTTTAGTAATCACGATCATACTAGTTTAGACTCTCTCATGTTGAATTAACTGAAAGGTGACAAAGATATGTCTTTTTTTTCCTATTTAATATTAATTCACTATTAAATAAACTTTAGATGCGTACTTTTACGTTATGACTTCTTAGTTGCAGGTGTCATAATAATGTCAATGTATGGTGTGATTACATTGTGGCTTACTCAATGATTCTTTGTTCTTTTACTTCTTAGCTTAAAGGTAGCCTTCGGTTCCTAGCGCTAGCGACCCGTCACCGCAACTGTTTTGTATGAATTTTAATGGAGTACATGAGTGAGCGTGGCCAGTTGGCAGTGCGGCAACCGCGACCCGGTCGCTCCAGAGGCAGTGCGGTCATGCGAAGCAGCCGAGAAGCGCATTAAAATGGCGGCGTTTCCACCGAACGAGGACGAGAAGTTTATTGAATAGGTCAATAAAAGCTCTTCGTATCGTGATGAAAAAATTGAGTCAATGTTTATTATTTTTTTACAGAGGCCTTTATCCTCCAACAGCTGCTATTATGCCAATAGCTTTTTTCCTAGCTACGGCAAAATTTTCGTACATATCGCACTGCAAAAGGATACAAAGCGTCGCGATCGCGCGTCGCGTCGCGTACATAGGAAAGCGACGTCGTGCGACCCTGTGGCGGTCGCTAGGAACCGAATGGTACTTATTATTCACAGAACTAACATCTTCCAGAATTTAATTAATATGTGCGGAAAAGTAAGTAAAAAACTAAATATATTAAACAATACGCTTATTAAAAGTATGTGTATATACACACATTTACAGTTTAAGAACGACTGCAAAAATATGCAGAGACCCAGTACATACATATGTTGATTTGTCATGTTAAAAAAGTCTTTACAATGACAATTTTAGTTATACTTTTCAAAAGACATTCAAAACGTCCGAAAATTCGACTAGTATATCGTATCAAGTAAAATTAAGAGTACTGCTTTCGCTATTTTTCTTTACACAGTAGGTACACTGTACATTTATCTAGTGGGTTATAAGATAATGAATTATTCTTCTTTGAATATAATTTCTAAGTCATTGTATTTACTGGCTATTGAAAAAGGGTGGGCGTGAACTTTATTATCAGATTCTTTTGTATTGCGAATCTGGCCATAAACATAAAAGCAATTCAGAAGCTCATGATAGATGAAGAAAGATGACTTTGATTTTATAGTCTCTAAGCTATGTTTTATGACTAAGTACACATATTATATTAAAATTATATCCTAATAAAAAAGCATAAACTAACTGTAAGTATTAACTTTTTTTTTATCATACACTAACTGGTCGGTATAAAAATTCTGACCAGTGAAGCAGTGACCAGTGAAGCAGACCAGACCAAAAAAAACTAAGTATTGACCGTCTTAATTTTTTTTTCAACAACTGATGTTAACTCCTCTGACAAACATAACCTGAATGGCTAAAATGAATGGGCTTTTGATCTGTGTAGTTTTTTGTTTTTATTAGATGTTTCTGTTTAATGGAACATAAAATACACCGTCCTCAACTGTTTAACAGTCAGTGTATTAATAACGGCTGTTGACGTCATCGTGTACTTTGTGAACCTCTCAATTCTTTCTTTTTAATAGATACTGTTCATATAAATGTCTTCCTATAGTTTCATTATCTTGAATTGTTTGTTGACGTGATTTGACGTTGTGACGTACTATTTTTTAAGCCTGTACCTAACATTAATGTAATTTACACTTTTACTTCTAAATTCATGAAAATGGAAGAAAAGTTTTTACGATGTCGATTATAGCTTTGTAAACATGGGTGTGAGATGGATTGTCTGTCTGTCTGTCAATGCTCAATCAACGGGCATTTTCGAATAACGCAAACCAGGTGTTTCTTCAATTCAATGTAAATCGTTCAATTAGTTGTTAAGGTCACCAGTTGTATGTATTATTGCATTTTGTGGTGAATATTTTATTTATGCAGTTCAGGTATTGTACCCAATTGCCAAAGGAGGGTATTAATTTCCATGTTGTGTGTTCAATTCTGTTCAACGCTCTGCAACCTAAAGCGTTAAACGGATTTTGCTTTATAAGGTGTCACTAAAGTCTCTTCAATTCAAATTCAGGTTACCAGGTACGTGCATTAAGATGCAGACTGTCATAATTTTCGCAAATATTTAAAATAATTATTTAAATCGAGGTAGGCGTATTTTCGTAGAAATCATTTCACAGCAAGTTTTGAATTCAGGAGTAGTAGTTATAATGGATACTCATTTAAAACATATAAAAAATAACTTTGATACAATGCTTTTTAAGTACTGACATTATTGTAAATATACTTAACGTATCTCACATACGGCCTTCTGGTTTTAAGTTACACAGTGCCTGTACTATGGTAAATAGACTGCTGCTAAACATACTAAGATATTATTGTTTTAAAAGACAACTCCTGCATTGGGAATATATATTCCTGTGTCGCGGGGGACTTTACAAACACACATGAGACGGACACAAAGAACACCCAGACTCAGAACAACAATTTGTAGATCACACAAAGTAGTCTCCCAAGTGGGGATCGAACCCACAACACGCCATCCGTGCAGTATATTTGTAAAAACATATGATATTATACATATTCTACATAAATTACACCCAGACACAAAACAAATAATCGTGCTCAAGAATTATTTGTCCCTGGACGACTAGACTAGTAGGTCAGCCAATATATTGACTACGCTATTGGTTTAGGGGTTTCTACCTAAAAACAGATCTAACTATATACCCTAGTTCTAAAAGGCTTTGTACTACCTATATTTAGTTTAGGTTCAGATATCACTTTATAAAATAATACGCAATGGATCAAATTTCCACTTCAAATAATTTGTACGATAACTAAATTACTCTAAATATAACAAATCCTAAGTAAAGAGCAAGGTTTGTAATTTCATAGTTTGATCGAAGCGTGTTTAATTTTCAAATAATAACTTCGAAAAACAATTGAAACGCGTCAAATTTCTCAAATGAAGTTTTGATATGAATTGATAAATCAATTTGATGCTGCCAAAATCTGCCTTCATTATAATAATTATTCTTCTATAATTTCAACTAAAATTAGTGAATATTTGATGTTACTGAGGAGTGAACAAACGAAAATAAATGTTAATAGCCCACAAATAATATATACACACAGCGATTAGCGTGATAATTAGCGTGATATTTTGAATGAATTTAATAAAAGAATGGACTCTCATTAAGATTTGTATGGAGTATTATGTAATGGGACTAAAATGACATACCGTATCGATAATTTAAAAACGATTGAATTATTTGTGATTAAAAATAAAATGTTTATTGGGACATTATTTTACTTGGACATTACATTAATAAATATTTTTCAGCCTCAGTTGAAATTGTCGTTCACTTTACTTCCGTTCTTGGTAGCTGTCCGCGTCACTTTAGGAGCAGAAATTTCGGGCACGCCGTTATTGCGGCGATAAGACCCGTTATGGAGGATTGGCTCAAGAGGCATCACGGGATCCTCTCATACCGGCTGACACAGGTGATAACCGGGAAAGGATGCTTCGGGGATCACCTGTGTATGATCCGCAAGGAGCCAACGCTTGGTTGTCACCATTGCGATGGCCAGACCGTGGACACGGTGCTCCACACGCTGGCAGAACGCCAGGCGTAGTCCAGCAGAGGCGTGACGTCGTGGCGGCCATCGGAGTGGGAATTCTCTCGCTTAGTACCATGATTGCAGCCATGGTAAGGAGCGAGAGCGTGTGGAGCAGAAAAAAATTAAATAAAAATAATAGCACAAAAATTAATGTAACACAAAAAAATGATAATAATGTTACAAAGTTTGTAACTCGAACGGTGCTCTCAAATTGATGCGTAAAACTTTTTAAACGATAATCTGATTTTTACGACTTCCTTTAATTTATTCCACAGGTGATTCTATTTCAGGAAAGATCGGCCTTTTATTGTATTAATGGATAAAGTTTCAAACTTTAATCTTGTAAAATAAACCTGCTGCTAGTTTAAAATGTACTTTGTTTTATAGGTTTTTGTTAAGACTCCTTTATACTTTCATCTGATACTTTTGTTTTCTTTTATGGTATAGGGGCAATCGAATAGATGGGTCACCGTGGACACCTACAGCTCATGAGTCTTAAATTCAAGCTTCCTTGGAATCCCTTCCCCCTTTCAAAGAGGGGAGGGGGGGGGGGTGCTCCGGTAACCTCAACCACTCGAGGAAAAGCAATGAAATCATTTGTTTACGTTTTTTATGTTTACACTCATATCTATATTATCTTAGCTTACAAAATATAAGCCAATTACTCCCAGAACCTCATCGAATATTGACTTCGTTACAGAGGTTATCTTCCAAAATACACTCACTGCTCCCGCTAGTCTTTATCTAGAAAACAGATAATCAGTCTATTATTGAACCTTCTATTAGTTTAGTTAGCTCCGAAAATTAATGTTTGCAGAGATTAATGCTAACAATGACACTATTTAATAAGGTAATCTGTGGAAAAATGCTGTGGGTAGTATATTAGTTAAGTTTAGTTGTAAGGATTTGATATAATTATATTCTTATTACACTCTTAGTTTTTTTCCTAATAAAAGAAATAAATGTCCCTTCACAAATTGTTAAACTTAGATATATCAGACTCAATTAAGCTACTCGTATCACATTTCCAAGCTCGATGGCCTCAGATACATATATATGCACTTACGTTTGTGGATCCTTGAAAGGATTTCTAGTGTTTCTGTATTTGCTTTCTTCTATTTCGGTCAATAAGCAGGTCTTAAGTTGTAGGTATTCTTTCCTCTAATTAGTACAGTCGGGATTAACAGATTCGAGTTTCAATGGTCATTCTTCATTATTGCGCGATACTTCCGTTACCTAATATTTTAATGGAATGGAAGAGAACAACGAAAACGTTGTGAAACATACTGAGTTAAAATGTTTGCTATAAAAAATATTTTAGACAAGCCAAAACTTCGAGTTCTTAAAACTATTTTCGTTTGTTTGAGTTATTCGATTTCGTTTGCGTTGTAGGATTAAAGGAAAAAGTTTTCTTAGTCGCTGCTGCTGCTGCTGACCTTCACTAATCTCTAATTATATAAACTTTTCAATAACATGGTCGCCATGACATACCAAAAAGAAATCCGCGGATTATGTATTAAATACTTGACAATTTCAAATGAACGCATAAAAAAATTAGTGATGTATTAAATAAGTTCACTCCTACTATTTTTATATTTATCATATTTAAAATATTTAAATTTACGAGGCTAGTTTGTACCATTACAACAAAAGATCTCATTATAAATTTGACAATAGAAGTCGGGCCGGACAATGATTAGGGCGGTACGGCGAATTCGCATTAGCGGTTGAAGTGTACTAGCTAAATTGTTATAAACAAGATGAAAGACACGTTTCTC